GGTGGGGGGGGGGGGGGGGAGAAGGGGGTGTGGGTTGGGGGGGGGGGGGGGTACACTGCCATAAAACTAATATTTTATATTATATGTGGTTGGGGGGGGGTCCAAACGAATAATTATGAAATGTGAGCGGGGCACGCCCATGCCCATAGGAGTATTTCGCTATTTAAAGTGAATTCTGATTTTGATTACCTCCTTTAGTTTGGTCGATGTACATTTCATTAACTTTATTATTATTATTATTATGTGTTGTCATTATTATTATTAATATTATGATCATCATTATTATTTAGTAAGTTCAGGTCGTATAATTATGTTCCCACATTTTCAAATGTGCCCTGCTGGTTGTCCGCGACGCTGCATCGCTGTCAGGGAAAATCAGTAACGAGCGCATTGCCTGCCTTAATAAATTATGTACGCCGTGCTGGAGCCGCCGTGCCAGCGCAGTGTTTGCTGCTGAACGGGCACCGTCCACCTGCTCCTCCTCACCGGACACCGGCGGCGGCGTTTATGAGCAAACCGATTATGGAAGCTTCTAAACGGCGAACGCCGCGCCGGCCGCTCCGCAGGTTCTCCTACTCCGCCCAGGGGAGCGAAATCAATAGGGGCCCATTTCGCTTTTGTCCTGATGCATCGGCACTTTCCCTTGGCTGTAAAAATGGAAAACAGTTCAGCTATGCAATAATACGCTCCTCAGTAAAGTGCAGTGCACAGCTTCCGTCTGTGTCTATACTTCTGATAAATTCTGATTTACAAGCTTCTGTATCTCCGTAAGCTATTAAACTCGCATTCAGTTGCAGTTGCATTCATTTTGCATAAAGGTTATTTTGGACTGGACAGTGCTTAAGAATTAAATAAAGTTTACATTTTAATAAACGTCCATACGGATATTTAAAAGTGTCAGCAATCAAAAGTGTATCGCGTATAGTTATCATGCCCAAAGATATGAACTGCTTGCCCACACCGAAAAAAAGCACAAGCACTTGTAATTTAAATCTTTCATATTAAAGTGGCACGTAAAAACTCACAAGGCAAAGTGACGCATATTAACTTTGGTGCACTTAATTAACAGTTACAAATCGCTTAATTATTCCTTTTGGCTGTTTTGGTGCATTTATTGTCTTTACAGTGTTTCTTCCAAAGTAATGTAACTATGTACATTTTTTCAATATTACTGGGAACTGGGTGGCAGGAGAGGAGAAATGGTTTGTTTATTTTCACTTCCCGTTAAAGGATGGGAAAAAGGTGAACAGCCACATAAATGGCTTCTCTGCTAAGAGCGAGAGCTGATCCCGGTCACCACTGCAGTACAGTCACAGCTCATTATTCCAGAGATTCTCACAGGTACATCAGTGTAAGTGCACCTTTACTGTAACAAAATGACCAATCATCCAAAAAAGACAGAAACCAAAATAGACCACCTTTACATTTCAGTACTAGCATTTCTGTATTTGGCCAAATTGAGCTGCATTTCTATTCCGTTTTCTTAAAGATGTTTAAGAAACGCAGGTAAATCTTCAGCAGAGGGCTTATTGAACCAAGTAGTGCTGTATCTGCCTGCTGTTCTGTGCCATTTTAAACCCTTAATGGCACCTTCCATGTTTACAAGCTGGTCTCTTCTGCCTTTGTAGCACCTGAATTGCACTTCCTTTCCTTTCTGATTCATTTACTTTATGTTTTCAAGGTGGCTATTGTGCTGGGAGTCTTTGGAATACTACTGGATGCCAAAAAAAAACAAAAAAACAAAAAACACTGTAGTCAAAATATTATCTATAAATATTCATATCTAAGCTTTTAAACCAGACTCTCGTGTTGCCAAAATTATATTTTATTTGTTTGTTTTGCATGTCTGTAACTTCATTTACTGCAGGTCTGCTAAAATCGTAATATGGATTAGCATCTAGAACTAAGTGCACAACTTAGTATCTAGAATCATACATGATTTAGCACATGGGTTAGCATCTAGAATCATACATGATTACGTTCATAGGTCTAACAATACCAAACAGGATTAATGATAATATCATTACATACAGATTAAGATAAGATGGGAGCATTAAATTAAAAAATGTAAAATATGTATCCTAATATTAGGACGTATGTTAAAACATCTTCTCAATAGACTGAATCACAGCAGGATGACAAATTGTTCTTTACACAGCGTGTAGTTAGAGTATGGAATAGTTTTCCTGCTAGTGTAGTGGAAGCTAAAACCCTGGGTTCCTTTAAATCAGAGCTAGATAAGATTTTAACAACTCTGAGCTATTAGTTAAGTTCTCCCCAAACGAGCTTGATGGGCCGAATGGCCTCCTCTCGTTTGTAAATTTCTTATGTTCTTATGTTCTTCTGCCAAATTTGTATTATTATAGAATAGCAAACCATTTAAACATTTTTAATTTTCCTTGGACTAAAATGATATCCTTAGGGTTCTCATAATCTTTTTGTTTTTTCCAACTACTCCAGGTTTTTATGACTTTTCCATTGAGCCATAAGTAATGAAAATGCATGGTACCTGGTATCAAAATCACATTTAAAGAATCCTAACAAGATTTGCAGGATTCCTCTTTGAAAATGGATCAGGCGGGAAGCCTTACTGGGCGCTCAGGTTCTGCACCGCCTAATGGGCTCCCGCAGGCAGGCAGTGCCTCTGAAACAAAGACGGTAAAAGTTATCGACCCACAGGGGGGGTTCAGCTGTTGGGTGGGCAGACAGTCCCTGGCCACACCCCTGGGGGTATCAAGCTAATAGGCTAATCTTTTTTGCATCTTTGGGTGATTATTTTTGGAGGGGGGCACAGGCGGTCATGGGGGGAGCATCGATCCTGCCGCCCTCCCATGGCACCAACACTGTACTGCATCAGTTGCTCCCTGAATTTCAGCTGTATACAGTGGCCTGATACAGTGGCGTACCACTGGAGATTTTTGTACTAATATATTTTTTTGCTGAATAAATTGAATAAATTTAAAATACGTTGTACTACCATAGCACCACAAGGTGGCATGTTTGTTGAAATTTTCAATATTACAGTCCCGCTGTATGTATATTTTAACAGACACTTCTGACTATTCCTGTCCATCTTCTAGCTATTCATTCTTGGCAGGGCCATTTTCATTGCATCTCAAGTATGTAAATGAAACTTTCCAAAATAAATAAATCAAGCAATATTCACAAGTAATTGTTTTCTTCTCTTCTTGCACCTCAGCTTATAAAAACATGCTGTCTAATACTTCTGCACATATACATAAACTTTATGAAGTACACAGATATTCAGTTGTTCTTTTTTAAAAAAAAAACTAACCTCACACTAATATGCTGGCCACTGCACTGTAATCACAGTTCCGTCTCATTCCGCTAAACACATTGACCCCCCGACTGAGCAGGAATGACCATCCGTGGTCACAGACTCACAACTCCAGACGTTTCACAAACGCTTCACTGTATCCCTGCAATTCCCTGTACCTCTGTGATGCAGGTGAGACCAGAAGGAGGCATTCATCAGGCATCTGCATTCTGCATTTAGATCTTTCCGTTAAGGTGATTACAGGTGATAGTTTGTCTTGGCCATTATCCGATTAGCTTATCGGGGACAGTTTTTGCTTACAATAAGGTGCACCCAAACTCCCTAAAACCAAACTGCTTGTGGGTTATGAACTAATATAGTGACACTATATGAGGTGGCTTTATCCAGAGAAACTTCAATTTATACGTGTGGAACAATTAATCTGAAATACCTTCCTCAGTGGGACCACATGCCCCTTAATGGCACCAGAATCAGCAAATTTCTGCACCCTCATCTGCCACAGTACTTGTAGAGTATAGACACCCTGATAGAAGCACATTATGCTGGTCTCAGGTAATAAATTTACTTAAGAAATAAACAAGAACCAACAAAACCTCCTGTCATCAGAAAAACACCTTTAAATATACACAATTCAAACTCTAAACTCATTTCTAAGGAAAATAAATTGAAATTAATTAGATATTTTGTGTATAAATATACAAATATTCAAATTTCAATGGAATTTATACACACACATACACGCACACACAGACACACACACACACGTGTTTGTGTGTTTATGGTTCCATATTATTTAAAATATTTTTTTCCAATTATTGTTCGGAAAAATCAAACATTCATCCCATAACCATGCGATTCTCACCGTGTTTATTCAATGTGAGGACTGAATAAATAATTAAAGTTCTAAATTTAAAAGTTATATTAAAGGGGAATCATACTGCGTTTTTTAAATCTGTTTGCCAAGAAGTCTTAGAAGTTTCTGCTTTTTTTTTTTTAACGAAAAAACAATATTAAAAATTGCAAAATGTTTAATATTGATAATTAGTCATTAACTGTACGCCATAAAAGTTGAATAAACATAATAGAAACCTCATCCATACACCGGGAAACCATGAGAGTATGTGTAAAGCACGGAATCCCGCAATCGGCTCGCAGGGACGTGCGAGACCGTAATAGGAAAACCAGCATCTCCGTGGTCCGATGCCATATGCATGAATGCAAAAGAGAAACCCAAGCGTACGAAATTTAAAATGCCTCATCTGAAGAGACTCATTTATGGCTCACTGAGTGGAAAACTGCACAATGTATCCGAGGAGAAAGTTGCTTACCTGTACCAGTCTAAACCTCGATCATAATTTCTGTCAAAGAAATGTGGTTCTGTTCCAACCGCTCGAACGTCTGGGTGGATCCTTATAAACTCCAGCACCGCTCTGGTCCCCCCTTTCTTAACGCCGACGATCAGGGCATTGGGTAATTTCTTGTTTCCATGTTTTGGGACGACGGTGATATTAATCGATCTCCGATTAGTCTGATTAATACCGCGCTGCTGTGTACTGCGTGAATCGGCGTTTTTGGTTAAGTTGCGATCAGGAGTTTCTTCCCGGTGATCAAGACGGACACCCGATGTGTCGCCCATGATAACTTTGGTGTCCGGGCGCATAGTGCACTGTGATTTTTGGAGAAGTTTTTTGCTCCCTATATTCTGGAAGAGGAGGCACCTATGCTCTTCATAACTCTGGCTTTGCATGATGGTGTCCGAGTAGAATATGATGCTATAGCATAAATAAGTAAAGGACAGGGATAAGGTAAATATGAAAATAAATCTTCGCGTTTGCTTGTTTGCGGACGGCGCAACTCGGCTGGAGAGGAACCTATATGCCATTTCTCCATGGATTAAAGGGCAGCATCTCTCTCCATCTGGACCCTTCCCTGGGTTTGGCGATCGTCCGGGACATGGGTAAGATAAAGCGGCATCCCACGATACAGCGCGCAAAATGTACTCCGAAAATGCCGGTGCGAGGCGCCCAGCATGTGTGCGCTTTCGGAAAAAGGCCACATTTCCCCAAAAATACAGCCACCGCAACACTTTCCGTGGCAATAATAATAGTAGTAATAATAATAATAATAATAATAATAATATTGCTGGTTAAAGCTTAAAAAAGTTCACTTAATGCATTTTAACAGATACCAAAAAATAAACGGTCTTCTCAGAAAATACATTGAACTCCCTTGATTTAAAATGTAAATATCTGATAAAGTCCATCAACTAATATCACAGTGCCGAAATCCCTTTGCTTATTGAAATAAGCCGGGAAAAGGCAAATTTGCGTTTTTGGCAGCATCTCCTAAGCGGCACCGCGCCAGTCGCTTGCTCGATCTCAGTTTGCGTGCCTTTGCACCCATAAGACAGCAGGAATGTACCTCCCAGACCCTTATCTGCTTTTGTCAAACTTCCCAAGATTGCAGTGCATGAGCAATACGATGACGACTAATACTGGTGCCATTTGACGTCACATCGCAAACTCTAAACGTGTCATTAAAGCAATACTATTTGCATAAAGAAATTAGTAGCAAAACACATAAATATGAGAAATGTACTGAAACGAATGAATAGATCATCTATTAAAATCACCTTTTCACATATTTAAATTATAAAAACTTGTTTCAAATGTATATGTTTTCCCCAAAATTAGCATATTTAATACAAGTGACTGGAGCCACAGAATAGGTAAGTGCTATTTTGGGTGTGTAAACATATAAACTTATTTGGAATGATAGATGATCTAAGAGGATGCAAGTATATTTTCTCAAATAATAGATCTGTATTTGAATACTAGCAATTCATCAATTCACTCATTGGTTTACCTTTGCTTTTTGTCTGTTGTCTCTGTGTCTATTAATTTGCCTGTTTTCTTACAGAATTGTTTTGATCATTAATGGAATCACCAATGGAAGAAAAAGAACTAGAACAGCTGTATATTTTATTATACCAATGTTTATATTCCTTTAATTGTTAATATTTAGTAATTAGAATTCCAAATTGTTAGATAAGAAAGTATCACATGAACAGACTACTTTAAGACCTCAGTCCAACAAAGTCACAAGGATTCCTAGCATTAACTCTCTGATTATTGAAATGGATCCTTAAAGCCAGCGCTTAACACATGCATATTACGCAAAATTGGTGGGAATAAAATACCAGTATGTGGCATGTTGCACCTAAGAAAGGTTTTCTGCTGTAAAACGGATTAAGTCTCAATAAACAAGCACTTGTAGTAACTGACACCCCTGACTTTGTAGGTGCGATGTGCCTGTGAACTCACAGCATGCACTCGGGTGCTGCTTAAATCTATTGTTCAGCTCTGCAGCGGCACCGCCGAGTCTGTTGCTCCAATTAGCCGCTCACCCACTATGGGCAGGAAATGTAATTGGAGGCCAAAAATCAATTAGGTGCCCAGTAATACGACACTGATCTGATGTGTCCCGAGAAGCAGGAAGTGCATGAACTTCATTAACCTTTTCAGACAGCTTGGTCAATGCATCACAAGGTCAACATTATCTGTGTAGGTTGTTGGGTAAAATTAAGACAGTTAATGAGATCTGGGACTTTCTATTGAAACAGGCATCATGAAATGAAAAAGGTAAATAAAGCATGTGTCAGGTAACATAGTATCCAAAATGAACAGTGCGCTTTGGTTTTTTTGTTATTTACAAAGTCATTGTTCATAGAATTGTTGCATTCGGTTACTGTCACTGTCTCTGTCAGCTTGTCAGCTGTCACTGTATCTGTACTGTCAGCTGGTCAGCTGTCACTGTGTTTGTACTGTCAGCTTGTCAGCTGTCACTGTATCTGTACTGTCAGCTGGTCAGCTGTCACTGAATTCCTTACTCAGAAATTCACACAGTGTCTTTCTAAATGGCTAGAGAACTGCAACTGACAGTCCAATTATGAGGCATTTAGCCTTGATCAAATTATAATTAGCAATCAGAAATAAACAAGA